CCAGAAATCCCAGCCAGTTTACAAGCTGTTAGGATTTCTGGGAGTTGAAGGCCAAAAACATCTGGGGACCCCAGGTTGAGAACCAATGTCCTAGGGTATAGGGCAGCGTAGATCAAGCCTGAGTTACACCTGGATTAGCCCCAGTCACTCATCAGTGCAAAAATATGAATCCGTCAAAGAACAGCATATGTGAAGAGAGATGAATTTCTGCTGTGCTTTCTTGAATCCTCATAACAAGTGCTTTTGTCACAGCTAGTCGTCTTGTTGGTCTTGTTGAACTCTGAGGAGAAAAACTCCTTCAGAAAGGAAGACTCCATAGAAATAAAGGAGAAGGCATAGCATATTAACACCCTCCATTTGCATGCCTTTCCATGTAGAAGCAGTATCAGTACTTCAGTATCGATAAGAACTGACCATGGAACAACAGACTGGTTCAAGATTGAGAAAGGCGTACGGCAGGGTTGTATACTCTCACCCGAGGAGCCTTCTAATCAAGGTGAAAGAAGAAAGTGCAAAAGCTGGGTTGCAGCTAAAGGTCAAAAAAACCAAGATTATGGCAACAAGACTGATTGATAACTGGCAAATAGAGGGAGAAAATGTGGAGGCAGTGGCAGACTTTGTATTTCTAGGTGCAAAGATTACTGCAGACACAGACTGCAGCCAGGAAATCAGAAGACGTCTACTTCTTAGGAGGAGAGCAATGACCAATCTTGATAAAATAGTGAAGAGTAGAGACATCACACTAGCAACGAAGATCCGCATAGTTAAAGCAATGGTATTCCCCATAGTAACCTACAGATGTAAGAGCTGGACAATAGGGAAGGCTGAGCAAAGAAAGATGCTTTTGAACTGTGGTGTTGGAGGAAAGTTCGTGAGAGGATCCAACCAGTCCATACTTCAGGAAATAAACCCTGGCTGCACACTGGAGGGAAGGATATCAGAGACAAAAATGAAGTACTTTGACCACATAATGAGAAGACAGGAAAGCTTAGAGAAGACAATGACGCTGGGGAAAATGGAAGGAAAAAGGAAGAGGGGCCGACCAAGGGCAAGATGGATGGATGGTATCCTTGAAGTGACTGGCTTGACTCTGAAGGAGCTGGGGGTGGTGATGGCCAACAGGGAGCTCTGGTGTGGGCTGGTCCATGAGGTCATGAAGAGTCGGAAGTGACTGAACAAATAAACAACAACATCAGTACTTCTGCTCCATATATGATTAGGGCAGAAACTACCGGCTGTTAGGAATTGTGCGAGTTGAAGTCCAAACACCTGGAGAGCCGAAGTTTGCCCATGCCTGCCATAGAGTCACAGTGGAGGATCGAGAGAGAACAATTTTAATCAAATTCCCAGAAGTCAAGTGAGCACTTGAAATCACACTGATTTCTAGCTGCCAACTCAGATGACAAAAGAGGCACAAAGAGAATACTGACTGTTGGGTCAGGACTTGCCAGCATTATGAAGTCTAGTGCGGCCATGGCCCTCGGTCCCCATAAATCCATCCATCCATGCCTTTAGATATAAGGCAAGTATTGACAAAACATTTAGGATTTAGTTCTTTCATTTGATATAACTATAGGCCTTACTGTTAGTTCACATCTTCACTTGTTTATTAGCCTTCCATATTCAGAGATTTTCCACCCACAGATTCAACTATTCAGAACTTGAACCACCCCCCCCCCCCCCCCCACACACATTCCAAAAAGCAAGCCTTGATTTTGCCCTTCTACACTAGACTCTTAGTTAACTGGATCTCAAGCAACTGACAAAATATTGTATTGAGAGAGTTGGCTTAATGTAACATTGCCGTGGTGGCGCAGTGGGTTAAACCTTTGTGCTGCTGAACTGCTCACCAGAAGGTTGGCTGAACCTGAAGGTCGACAGTTCTCATTCACGAGACAGGATGAGTTCCTGTCTGTCAGCTCCAGATCCTGCCAACCTAGCAGTTTGAAAACATGCAAATGTGGGTAGATAAATAGGTACCACTGGGACCACCATTACTGACTTGTGCCAGAGTCTTGCAGTTAAAAATTGCTGCTGCTGCTGCTGTTGTTGTTATTATTATTATTATGTCTAAATTTGCTTTCAATCACTAGATTTCAATATAAATATCAAGTCAATATAGGGTTTGTGGTATAATATGGGGTATAGTATTAGTTAGGACCATTTCTAATAATAAATAATAAAGCAATCAGAAACTACATGTATCCGGCACCTACCAATATCCATTGATACTGATATCCACAGAGAGGTCCTACAACCAAACTCTGGCACATATCAAGAGTCCACTGTATTCTTTTTTTGAGTCATATACACAAAAAATGTAAAAGAAAAAAGGTAGGAGTGAGAAAAGGAATCCAGCAGCATATTTAAGACTGATTTATTTTCTCATGAGCTTCTGTGGATGTAATGTGATTACTATAAAATCTGAGTTATCATGTTGACAGCTTCTGTAATTCATCCAGCCCTCTTTTTGTGATAAGAGTTGGCAGCACATTAAGTTAGCAAATGATATTTCACCAAAAAAATGGGAAAGGCGGAATATTCTTATGTATGTCGAAATATATGTTTCTTGGCAGCCTGGTCTTCTACCACTGTATATCGAATGACTAGATCTCCTGTTTTAGAAACTTATCAAGGAAACACTCCCTTCACTTTTTAAATGCTACAGGCGAAAAAATAAACAGCTCTTTGTGTGCTTTTTGATTATTGCATTTTATTATTTAGAGTTGCTTTACACATTTTCATCTTTATATAATTAAGTGAACTTCTTCAGGTTTGCACATACTCCATCTTAAGAGCCATGTATGTACACAGAGGTATTAGTCATGTGCTTGAGCGTGCAGGTGACAGCTGGGTCCAAAAGTGCTTTTACCCAATTTAAGCTTTCCTGTAGTAGACAGGAGTTTCTGTGGTCACGACCAGATTGGATTACTGCCGTATGGGACGTCTATTGAAAAGTCTTTTAAAGTTGGAGTTCAGTGTTGAAAATCGTTAATGGGAGCTGTCAGGTCTTCCGATTCTGTAAACCACTCTTAAACTATTGCTGTTGGCTCTCAAATACATTTTTGAGTTCAGTTCAAAGTACTAGTGTCAACTTCGAAAGGGTTTGGAGCCAAGATACCTTGACGGGCAACTCCTTCAATATACATGAGCCACATGCTTGTTCCATGTCACAAATCCGACAGAGGTGAAGTGTATTGACATACATATATACATGGGGCTGGATCTTCTTAACCATAAGCTATGGCTGCAAAACACTTTGATCCAACTGACCAAATGCTACCACCTCATGCTTTCTATAAGCCTTTGTTTGCTTCTTATTTTGGTCTTTTTCAGAATTTTATTTTTTATTTATCGTGTCAGGAGCAAGCAAAATAAACAATTTTTTCAAAATTATATTAAGTAAGAAGGTTTCATTACTTCTGGGTTTCTTTAAAACTTGATTTTTCTGTTGCAAAAATGAGGCTTCTAAAGCAAGCACAGAATCTTAGTCTTATGAAACCAATCAAATCACCATATGCTGCCAATCGGAACTAACAATGCAATGGACCAATTGTCTGATTCACAACCTCGTTTTGCCAGCCTCTGTGTCAAAATGGCAGGGACACGGGATGACTCTGTCAACCCGCACACTGTTCCTGAACAGCAACACTTTCCCTATCACACAATAGTGATGATGGTGAGCCCTTGGATCAACTCAGTCCTGTCATAGGGGTTTCTTGGTATTGTTTATTCAGAAGAGGTTTGCCATTGCAAACCTCTTTTGAATATATTCCTCTGAATATATCCAGTCTGGTTATATTCTCCAATATAACCAGAAAAGCCTAGAATTCTCTGTGGGTTTCACTTCCACATACTAACCAGGCATAGTGCTACTTAGCTTTTGAGATCAGGTAGGATCTGGTATCTTTAGGTTAGTTAAGCATAAACTGTAATTAATACTTAAAACACGTAACTTTGGTTGAATTGTTTTTCCTATATAACATCTTGTTGAAGTATGCATATCTTTCTCTGAAAATATTTTTTCAGGAAAAACTGAAAAATATGGATGACTATAGTCTCACACTAAATCTTGATTGAATAACTTGTCTGGTAACAATACTCAAGTCGTCTATGTTAGGGCGCTTCCAGACAGGGCTTAAACCTGCTCCAAAACAGGTTTAAGCCCCCACACCCATCCAAAAACAAGCTTTCTGTGTTGGTGTCCACATTCCCTCCCAATAACTTCCAGGAATGCATGGGGCCACCAAACACTTCCCCCCGAAAAGCCCTTAAAATAAGAGAAAGATTACCGGACATCTATGAGACCTCTCCGGCCGGCTTCCTCATGCGTAGAAATGATGTGGCAGGAGGCAGGAGTGATTTTGCCTCCCTTGCCTCCTAACAAATGATTTCTACACACCAGGAGGTCTACTGGAGAGATCTCATGGCTGCCTGGTAAGTTTTCTCTTATTTTAAGGGCTCTTCAGGGAAGTTGGGAAGGGGGTGGGTGCCCTCCTCACTTCTCTGGGCTTTTGGAAGCCTGAAGAAGCGAGATGGGTGTGGGGACTGACCCCTCGGAGGACCAGGGAGGAAGTCTCCATATGGCCCATACCCCATTAGACCTGGGCCTTTCAGGTCTATTTAATTAATAAGCAACAAAACAGGGTTTTGCTGCTTTGTCATGAATTAAACATTTTTTTTTTATCTAAGGCATTGTTTTGAATGTCTCCGGTAAAAGTCCGACAGGGCCCGCCTTTTGGGTCCTGTCTGGAAGGTTCCCTTAGATCCATTAATTGGCCATAGGAGCTGGGCTCCTATCAAATGTTGCTGAAATTTGCCTGTTATTTTCCATGTTTTGTTTTGACAATCATAGTTGTTGGCTTTATATAGACCTATGATTTTTTTTAAAAGTGTAGGGCAGTTTATGTCATTGTCTCCAGCTGTGTACAAGCTTGACAATATGTTCCCAGTGGTTTGACAAATAGCTTCTTATCTGTGTTTCCATTTATTTTCACCAGTTGTGATCATGTGTGCCAGCAGTGACGCAATACGGGACATCATGCTGGCTGCACATCGACAAGGGATGACCAATGGAGACTATGCCTTCTTCAATATAGAACTCTTCAACAGCTCATCATATGGTAATGTAGTTTCTTTCCTCCAGTGAGTTGGGAGGTTTTAATAAACACAGTATTTTTGAGATAGTTTAAATCTTTAAACAGGACACCAAATGTAAAATTCTTAAAACTTAACTAATAAAGCATGCTTGCATGTCTTCTTGTGTTTGAGATAATATCCATTTAGATGATGAAATTGGAATAAAAACAACAAAGTTTGATTGCTTAGACATATATATGTGTGAGAGAGAAACATTACCCATTTTCTTATTTATCGCACCTTCTTGTCATTATAACCTTGTAGCATAAGGCATGAATCTACTATGAGAAAACAGAAGATCCTTGTTTTACCATCTCCATATTTTGGCAGAAAATTTCAGTTGAAATAGTTTGCTGGGATTTAGGCAGATAATAAATTTACCTTCAGCTGAAATAGTGGAGCTCCTTGCTACAGGACTCCCTGGATTAGTACATTTGGATGCAGGAGATATTGCCAGCTGAGCAAGAGTATGTGGTTTGTGGCTCTTACAAGTTAATTTAATGTACAATTTCCAAAGCTTCACTGGAGTGCTTGAATTTATTCAAAGCTATTTGAAGGCAGCAAATTTAACTACATCAGCTGACATTTTTCACCTTAACTGGCCAATGAATTACTGTCAAGATGACCAAAACGTTTTCTTTCTTTGAGGCAAACATTGGATAAGTTTGAAACATTAAACCAGTCTATTCCAAACAATTGAGTAGCTTCTTAGGTGCTCTAAGGTGCAACTCAGGCCAGATCCAGACAGGCCCTAATCTCGGGAGAACCCACATCTGAAAAACGCAGATTTTCCTGGGGACCTGTCCAAACCCATGCCAGAAAATGTATGCTTTTTGGCATGGGTGTCCAGACGTTCTCTCGGGACTAGCCCAAGAGTATGTCTGGAGGCCCTACTCCCCTCCCCTCAAGCCCCCAGACCCCTTAGAAAAGTAGTAAAAACTTACCAATCCTTCAGTAGAAGTTTTGGACGGCTCTCCTGACATGTAGAAATGACACACCAGAAGAGCGGGGGATAGAGAGCAATTTTCCTCCTTCCTCCCCACTCTCCTAGAGTGTGATTTCTACACATCAGGAGAGCCATCCAAGGCTTCTACTGAAGGATTGGTAAGTTTTTACTACTTTTCTAAGGGGTGGGGGGGTGGGGCTTGGAGGGAAGGGTGTGTATTTTACAGTTTACTGGGCTTATCTGGCCCCATAAATTGTGGGAATGGTGTTTGGACTGCAGTATTCTGCAGTCCAGACCCTTAAGTACTGGATTTAGCCCATGCCTTCCAAGAAGACACATAATAAATCCACTAACAAATTAATTGGCTACAAACTAGGATGTTCCTGGTTTGTAGCGAATTAATGCGGAACTGTCCAGAACATCGTCTGGACTGCCCACTTTTTATTGCGGGCAGTCCGCAATAAAAGGGACTTTCTGGATAGGCCCACAGTTCACAAATTATTTGTATATAATTTTACAGTTATTCAGTTGTCTAACTACAACACTTTTTGTTGGCTAGCTGAATGTATGAGAGTAAAGAGGATTAACACTAGCACATATATGGGATGAAATAGAGACACAATGATCTCTGCCATGATATAGCTGATTTCAAGGTATGGATGTGAAAGCTGAATAGTGAAGAAAGTTGACAGGAAAAAAGTAATGTGGTGCCAGGAGAAAATTCAGTGGACACCATAAACTGCCAAAAAGACAAAAAAAAGCCCAAGATTAAATTTGTCCAGAAACCAAAATGATTAAACCAAGGCATATTATGAGACAATAACACTTGTTAGAAGAGACAACAGTGCCATTAAATTTGAAGGTAGTAGGGAAAAAATGCAGGAGGATGTAGATGGATAGATTCAGTCAAGAAAAGCATGGTTTTGAATTTGCAGACCTGAACAAGGCTCTTGTAACGAGGTCTCTTGGAGGTTTCCCATTAATAGGATTGTCATGAGTTGAAAAAGACTTGTCAGAAATTAATAAATACAGGGGTTTTTTCCCAAATCAAGCCAGTTTGTTATAATTCTGCCAAAATACACAGTTGCAGATAGAAACCCACTTTGGAGACAGTGTTTGTCTTGTTTTCTCTTTGTTTGTATTTGTAAATTTTGCAATGTATACATTCAGATGGCTAAGGAAGAGGTTACAACATTAGTGCCTTGGCACTTAATAATTCAAGTGATATGGGATTACTAGCTTTTCATAGAAATGTTTTCTTGGCTCCAAGAGATGGTTGCATTTTTATTTGTTTTTAAGATTTTGCTCTGAGTTTCCTGCAACAATTTCATGCTTTGATCTAAGACTTCCTCCTCCAAAACAAGGTGCTTCCTTTTTTAACAAACAAACAAACAAAAACACAATGCATAAGCTTTTATATGTGTGTTTTAAATCCATTAATTAAATCATAGAGGGTACAATTCAACTACAGCTAAGAAATTTCCTAAAACCACTTAAGTGTGGCTCCAGGATGTGCTTGAACTCTCATTTTAAATCCTTGCAAGTGCTTCAGCTTAGGTGGATTTGCCTGTAAAAGACACATTCCAGCAACACCTGAGAAATAGTAGCAGCAAAGTGGGAAGAGCAGTTATTAATAGTATTAATAGTATTGTTGCAGCTTCTCAAGTCGCTCTTGACATGAAAAAAGTGGGAAGAGACCTTATTAAAATTGGTCTAAAATTATAAGTATTTTTATTTCTCTCTTAGGAAATGGCTCGTGGAAAAGAGGAGACAAATATGATCTCGAAGCAAAGCAAGCATACTCATCCCTCCAGACAGTAACATTACTGAGAACAGTGAAACCAGAGTTTGAGAAATTTGCCCAGGAGATGAAAAGTTCCGTTCAGAAACAAGGAATCATTCCCGATGATTATGTAAGTACCTGAATCTGAGACAAATCTTTCATGGAGTTTTTCTTGGCAGAATTTCTTAAGAGGGAATTTCTCTTTCCATCCTCTGAGCCTGAGAGAGTATTACTTGTCTACAGTCACCCTGTCAATTTACATTGCCAAGAGGAGATTTGAACCCTGATCTCTCAGGGCCATTCCACACAGTCATATAACGCAGGAAATCCCACAATATCTGCTTCGAACTGAGGACCCATCCAGACAGTAGCTTTATTGAGGTAACTGTCCAGACAGCGTTCTGGACAGTCCTGAATTAATTCGCTACAAACCAGGAAAACCCTGGTTTGTTGCAAATTAATTAGATAGTGGATTTGTTCCGCGCCTTCTTGAAAGATAAACCTACTATTTCCAGCTTTTGGACTGCAGTCCAGACACCATTCCCACAGTTTTCCAGACTAATTTAGTCAGGAACACTGTGGGAATACCCACCCCCTCCCCCAAATCCCCCAAACCCCTTTGAAAAGTAAAGAAAACTTACCCAGCCTCAAGTACACTCTTGGAGCAGCTCTCCTGGCATGTAAAAATGACGCGCCATGCAAGTGTTGTGGGGGGGGGGGAATTGCTCCCTTCACCATGCTCTCCTGGCACGCCATTTCTACACGCCGGGAGAGCTGCTCCAAGGGTGTACTGGAGACCGGGTAAGTTTTCTTTACTTTTCAAAGGGGCCTGGGGGCTTCGGGGGAAGGGGGTAGGGCCTCCAGATATTCTCATGGGCCAGCGTGTTTTCTAGGGTGTGCATGAACACCCTAAGTTTTTTTCTTCAAATTATACATCTGATATATGGAAATGCTTCTGTGATGTTTACGGAGCCATTTGCAACTGTAAACACCTATCTGGTTCTGCCCTGAGTTATCTGAGCCCACACTGCCATATATTCCAGTTCAAAGCATATAATGTGGGATTTTCTGCCTTGATATTCTGGAATATAGGGTTGTGTGGAAGGACACTGAGTGTCTCAAACCACTACTCCACGCTGGTGTTATCCACGGAACAGTTTAGATCAAATCCAGTTGTGAATTTCCCATAGAGTAACTCATTGAATCATGGTTCTTTTTCCACATGAGAACACCCACTATGGAGTTGTTTTACGTTTTGTGTCAGCCTCATTGAAAGTCTACCAGATCTTTGCAATTGCAGATAGTGGAAGCAGTCACTTGGAATTAAAACTCATTTTATGTGGCCCTTCACAAAAGGCTAATGGGATACACTGTGCATTGTAATTTCTGCCGAGTTTTTCTCTCACCTCTGCCAATCATTTTTAGTAGCATGCCTTGAAATCTGTTTCACAAAATGGGAAGCTCGGTTTAAAAGTAGACTGTAGCTAGAAGAGAATTCATGGGTTATCTATGTCATGAGTGGTGCCTTTTCTTTTTTACATAAAGAAAATGAAAATGACTCCCTTTTCCCACTAGGGAAGCACAAAAAAAGTTATGTGGACATTATCCTTGGCATTTCAAGTTAGTTGAAACAGTAACATTTGCTGGAAAGAAAAAATTGTTGCATGAATCAATAGTGATCTTTGTTGCATTTTTAGTCAAAACTGCTACAACAAGCTGCTTATCTCCATGGTAGGAATATGGAAATAAATGAGAGATTCAACCATATTGCTCATAAAGGAGAGACTGCGGAACTAAATTCAGTCTCAGTCCCTATCCCCCTTTCCCCTTGTCATCAGGATTAGAAACCAGAAACAAAAGCCCACTTATTTATTGTGAGGCACTTTATCCAGATGGGGCTGCAGTGGCGCAGAGGGTAAAACGGCTAAGCTGCAGAACTTGCTGACCAGAAGGTCAGCGGTTCAAATCCGCAGGATGGGGTGAGCTCAAGTTGGTATCCCCAGCTTCTGCCAACCTAGCCGTTTGAAAACATGCAAATGTGAGTAGATCAGTAAGTACCACTTCAGCAGGAAGGTAACGGTACTCATGCCAGCAACATGACCTTGGAGGTGTCTACGGACAACGCCGGCTCTTCAGCTTAGAAATGGAGATGAGCACCACCCCAGAGTTGGACTCAACTATGTCAAGGGGAAACTTTTACCTTTATCCAGATGCATGGACGAAACTGCACTATATTCAGGTACAAGCCTGAGTGGATATATAGATGACATACCGGTTTTATGCTTGTGGAATTTCAAAATGTACTTAGTATTGAATTGCTGATGGAGTTGGCTGCTGTGGCTGCATTTAGCAATTTTTGTTGCTGTTGTTATCTCTCATATCCTGATAGCACATACATGGGGAGTTGATTTACTATTCTCTATTCTGTTTTTGGTGCCCATGTTTCAGGGCCCTGGAGCTAAAAGAATATAGCCTTGGCCTTGAAAGGGAACTCAGAAGGACAGGGATGAGCTTAACTATTCTCCAAAACCATACGTAGAGTCTTTTTTTTTTCAAACATTAGCATGGAAACGGCAGTAATTTCTTTTAGTTCACTCAGTATAATGTAATCTCAGGATACTGCTGATTAATTGCAAAATCTATAGGAGCAAGAGAATTGGGATAGCAGTAAGATGTTGACATTAATATGCTGCAATGTGTGATGCTTGTTGGTTCAACAAGGCAGGGTATTATGAAAATGGCACAGGGAAAGGCCTATTCACATCTGCCTATCTGATGTTAATGATAATGATAATAACATTTCATGCAACATTTCAAAGATCCCATAGATACAGAGATAGGAAATCAAAGTTTTCTGGTCTGTTAAGTGTCTCTGTCACTCATAAGATATTTTTCTGGGAGTGTAAAATCACCACATGGGACCCCCCCCCCTTTTTTTAAAAAAAAACAATTGTATATAAAAACTGAAATATTTTAAAATGGATGGCAGCAACCAGGACAAGTCTCATCCATGTTTTCAGCAGCTCCTTCCATGCTGTGGAAGCCTTTCTCACAGGAAGCTAGATTGGCCCCTTCTGCTTTCCTTCCACTGGCAGACAAATAGTTTTTTTTAAAATTTAGATCAGGTTTTGGTGAACAACTGTTGTTGCAAAAAGCTCTGTTATTAATGGGCTATATGTTCTGCATTTTACTCTCATTGTTACGATTTTTTTCATGTCAGGAGCGACTTGAGAAACTGCAAGTCACTTCTAGTGTGAGAGAATTGGCTGTCATCAAGGACGTTGCCCAGGGGATGTTTTACCATCGTATGGGAGACTTTTTTCATGTCCCTGCATGAGAAGCTGGAGCTGACAAAAAGGAGCTTACCCGCTCCCCAGATTCAAACCACCAACCTTTCTGTCAGCAGTCCTGCCAGCACAAAGGTTTAGCCCATTGTGCCACTGAGAACCACTTGTTATAATACCAGTTATTTAAATTAATAGTGTTTGATAAGATAGCTTATGTAACTATTAAATACTTTTTTAATGTAATTATTTTTAAGATGTGCTTTCTTTTAACTGATGCTTCAAGTTATATTTGGGTCCCATGTTGCAAAAAAGAAACAAAAACCCAGGATCTCAATTGTATTAATTCATCTGGTGGTGATAAAACTATTATTTCTTTTTTTTAAAAAATCCATCCATATTCTCTTTCCAGAGTTAATTTCCAACAATGCATCTTTTTGATACTGACTTTTGTTAGTTGCAGACTCCAGAATTGGCCCTGAATGCCTACAACTTCTTCATTTGTTGTTCATTCGTTCAGTCGCTTCTGACTCTTCGTGACCTCATGGACCAGCCCACGCCAGAGCTCCCTGTCGGCCGTCACCACCCCCAGCTCCTTCAAGGTCAGTCCAGTCACTTCAAGGATGCCATCCATCCATCTTGCCCTTGGTCGGCCCCTCTTCCTTTTACCTTCCACCTTCCCAGCATAATTGTCTTCTCTAGGCTTTGCTGTCTCCTCATGATGTGGCCAAAGTACTTCAACTTTGTCTCTAGTATCCTTCCCTCCAATGAGCAGTCGGGCTTTATTTCCTGGAGGATGGACTGGTTGGATCTTCTCGCAGTCCAAGGCACTCTCAGCACTTTCCTCCAGCACCACATCTCAAAAGCATCGATCTTCCTTCGCTCAGCCTTCCCTAAGGTCCAGCTCTCACATCCGTAGGTTACTACAGGGAATACCATGGCTTTGACTAGGCGGATCTTTGTTGCCAGTCTGATGTCTCTACTCTTTACTATTTTATCGAGATTGGACATTGCTCTCCTCCCAAGAAGTAAGCGTCTTCTGATTTCCTAGCCACAGTCTGCATCTGCAGTAATCTTTGCACCTAGAAATACAAAGTCTGTCACGGCTTTCCTGGCTGCAGTCTGCGTCTGCAGTAATCTTTGCACCTAGAAATACAAAGTCTGTCACGGCCTCCACATTTTCTCCCTCTATTTTCCAGTTGTCAATCATTCTTGTTGCCATAATCTTGGTTTTTTTGATGTTTAGCTGCAACTCAGCTTTTGCGCTTTCTTCTTTCACCTTGATTAGAAGGCTCCTCGGCTCCTCCTCACTTTCGGCCATCAGAGTGGTGTCATCTGCATATCTGAGGTTGTTAATGTTTCTTCCAGCAATTTTCACCCCAGCCTTGCATTCATCAAGCCCTGCACATCGCATGATGTGTTCTGCATACAAGTTAAAAAGGTTGGGTGAGAGGATGCAGCCTTGCCGTACGCCTTTCCCAATCTTGAACCAGTCTGTTGTTCCGTGGTCAGTTCTGACTGTTGCTACGTGGTCCTTGTACAGATTCCTCAGGAGAGAGACAAGGTGGCTTGGGATGCCCATCCCACTAAGAACTTGCCACAATTTATTATGATCCACACAGTCAAAGGCTTTAGAATAGTCAATGAAGCAGAAATAGTACTACTCTTTGTATATTGCTAGATTCATTTTTCAAAATACAAATGTTTGATTGTCTTATTTCTCACAAATGGCAAAAGAGACTTTGCATAAGAGACTTTTTATAATCTGATGACATACATACATAGTTCAGCCAACCCACAACTTTGAAACAGTAGCAGGACAGCACGTGTTGTGCTGCAAGTGGTG